AAAAAAAGGAAAAAAAGGAAAAAAAAAAAGGAAAATAATCGAATCGATTTGAGCTTTTTAAAAATCTTGCTGTCGTCATCGTCATCGTCGTCATCGTCTACGTTCAGATATTCGAATAAATATTTTTCGACAACCTCCTCCATTTTGTTTTTTTTTTTTCTACGTGGATTAAAGTACGTTCAGAAATTACTCATAATTATTATCAATGAGAATTATTTTGGGTAGGAAGGGGGGGGGGAGAATGAAACTCGATTGAATTTTTTATTTATTTATTTTTATTTTTTTGTTTTGTTTTTTTTCATTAAAACAAAAGATTATTTTCCGGTCTTTAAAGTTTACAATTTAAACAAACGCAAACATTAAAAATTTACAATTTAAAGTTAAACGAAGTGTCGTCGGTGGTTGTTTTATGGTCCGCAATTTGAAACGTTTTAGAGTCACGTCGTAAAAATGTAACTAAACTTTTACGACTCTTGATAAATTTACAACCCATTTCAATATCCGTGTGACGTGAGAATTGTCAAAGGGATGAAGTGGGGGAGGGAGGGGGAGGAGGAGGAGGAGGAGTGCGGTCGAGGGTAGGCGTCGTGGAAGTAGATAAAAAGCGGGGAGAAAAACGGAAAAAACGCGCGAGTTTTCTCATATATATATATAAAAAAAAAAAAAAAATTTTTTTTTTTTTAATTATAACGAAAAATATTTTAAAAATCTTCCCCCACCCCCCACTACCCGCGTACGCGATAATGATGATGATGATAATAATAATAATAATTAATAGTAATTGGATAATGATAATAATTTTATTAACGAAATGAATGCGTGTGTGCGTGTGTGTGTGTGTGTGTGTGTAATTTCGTGATTGAAAATGATTTTTGTTTTTTTTTTTTTTTTTTTTTTTTCTACAAGTGGATGATTACAGGTGAGGTTTTTTTAAAAAGGGGATGATGAATTATAAGGGGGTACAAAGTTGATTTTATAATAAAAGACAAAAAAAAAAAAAAAAAAAAAAAGGCGAGGAAAACGTGTGGGGGCAGTAGTTATAACAAGAAGGAAGGAAAGGGATGGATGATGTTGTGAACTTAACAATTTGTCGGGTTGCTAAAACAACAAGAAAAAAAGGGTTACGTCACAACAACCATTTCCGGTTATTATTATTATTATTATTATTATTATTATTATTATTGTTTTTTTTTCGTTGTCGTTTTTTAATTTCGTATCACGTCGAGTATTTTTCCCTATTTTACGAACAAAATATTACATATATTTTTCGCGACGATTCGACGATGACGACGACGACTATAATGATGATTATAGCTGTTGTTTTTCCAGGAAAATTTTTTGTATAATTTAAAAAAAAAAAAAAAAGGAAAAAAATTAATATGTAGAAACGTGCGCAACTTATTTATATTTTTCATATAAAAAGTATTTATAATTTTGTACATTTAAATAATTTTCATTCAAATTACATAAGATTTTATTTTTTTTTTTACACGTTTACGCGTCGTGTAAAATAAATAAATAAATAAAATATTGCACGGTTTAATGAAATTATTATTATTATTATTATTATTATTATTATTATTATTATTATTATTATTATTATTATTATTATTATTATTATTATCGTGTTCCAAAAAATTTAATTGTTAATACGCGTTGAAAAAAATATTTTAAAAAAATTTTTCATTTCCTTTCGACTTATTATTATTTTTTTTTTCGGTTTTTTCGTTTGGCAAATCCGAACGGATAAATTAATTAATTAATAAAAAATTAAATAAATTATTATTATTATTATTATTATTATTATTATTATTATTATTATTATTATTATTATTATTAATAGGGTTATTATTTTAAACGTGGGAGATTAGGATCGAACAAAATAAATATCGGTAGTAGTCGTGGTAGTAGTAATAGTAGTAGTAGTTATTATCAGCACCCTAAATTTTCTTTTATTTGAAATTTATCTTTATTTATTATTATTATTATCATTATTATTATCATTATTATTATTATATGTACAAATTCGATTTTAAAAAAAATAAGAAAAAAAATGTCTGAAGAACGATGAATGAAATTTATGAATAGAGACAATGAAATGAAAAAAAAAAAAAGAAATTAATTAATAAATGATTTTTTTGAAACTATAAAATATTATGTATATTATGTATATTATATATATATAATGTATATCACATAAATATTGCACTCATTAGGGGTGCGAACGGCTTGGCGCAGATTTTTCGTGTGCGAACGGTTTTTTTTTTTTTTAACGTAATTTTTTTTGTTAAATGTATTTGTAAAAAAAAGCAAAAAAAAAAAAAGGAAATTACGGTATATGTCAAAAAGGAAACAAAATAAAATTTTTTTTTTTTTTTTTTTTTGATCTGCGCCGTTCATGCAATCATCATCATTATCACTATATATATATTTATATTCGACTAGAATTCGGAAAATTTTTTTTTTTTTTTTTTTGACGGAAATATTTATTTTATGTACATTATTAATTATTATTATTATTAATATTATTATTATGTACAGATAATTGAGATCATGTGATTTCATAATTTTTTCTTTATAATTTTTTTTTTGTTTTTTTTTTGTTGAAATCATTCTAAAAAAAAAAAATTAATTGGGAATTGACCTAAATGAATATAATTATAACTATTACATACAATGCACCGGCATGGGAGTGGATGCGGCCGAATTGCCGCCGGATAGTTGTCAGTGTTGGGCGGCAAATTTCATCCTTTTTTGCTTTTGCCTCTGATTGCAAAACCAAACCCTCACAACGTTTTTTTTCAAATCTAATTTTTCGGCAATGGCGGCAATTTTTTCACCCGAGGGCCTCGGTTGTACCGCAAAATAAGCTTCGAGACTCCTTTTTTCCGGTGCTGCGATCGAAGTTCTTTTACGTTTTTTTTCTCCCGCGGGTAAAACACTCGGCGCGTCCGGATCTCTCCTCTTGTTTTTGGCTTGAGCTTCGGCTTCTTCGAGCCACGCTTGAAGTATGGGTTTCAACGCGATCATGTTATTGTGGGAAAGCGTCAAACTTTCAAATCGGCAAATCGTGCTCTGCGAAAGAGCACCCACGCCCGGGAGTTTCAAATTGGCAAGAGCTTTACCAACGTCCGCTTGCGTGACGCCGAGTTTTATTCGTCTCTGTTTAAAACGCTCCGCGAAAGCTTCCAATTCTCTCGGATCTGTGTCTGCATCCGGGTGAAGGCCGGCGGCGGCAGCTGCAGCCGCGGCTGCCGCCATCGCCGAATGATGAGCGTGGGCGGGATGATGATGGCCTCCGTGATGTCCCGTCGGACCTCCGAGAGTCCCTCCGTGATGATGATGATGTCCGGTCATCATGTTCATTCCGGGCCCGTACATGGACGAATGAAGTTGATGATGACCGCCACCCGACGTGTCTGACATTGGTGTTAGCGTTGTCATCGACGTCGTTGATATCGGATCCAACATTTCCAAGCCATCCATTCCGTGATGACCCATCTAGAAACGAATAGTTTTCGGTAAAAATTAAAAAAAAAAATTAAAAATTGCCCGTTCCAAGTTCTAAAAATTTTTAATTTTATGTTTTAATGGGTGACGCTCCGAAAAAAAGGTTTCAAATGTAAATGTAACAGCTGTAGAAGAAAAATTTTCTTTTTTTTTTTTCTGTGAGAGTAGCCGACAAAGAAAAATGACAACGTTTTGGTCATAGAGTCACGAGGCAAAAATGGAATCGGGGAGAAAGTGGGAGATGGGAGAGAGGGAGGGGGTAAGAACAACACACTTGCGAGGAAAAACAAATGGTTCTGGGTTTTCGAGGAGGAGGAAAATTACAGTGGCATGCAACGAAAACTGAGTAATTTGAAAACAAGTATCGTCATTCCGGTAGTAATGATGAAATATTTCACCGCGGGGAAATGCCGGACTGCCGCCTATATATAACAAGTTGTGTGATGTCTTGTCGATTGCCTCATTACAGGGGCTGAGGGATGAGAAATGACGCCTTAGGGATTCACGTGGGCACGTGACGCATTTTTAGTTTTTATTTATTTTTTTTTTTTTTTTCCAAAAGAAAGAAGAATCGAGTCGAAATAATTACAATTTCTATTGAATTATAACAAACATTTTCAAATTTTATTTTACTCCATTCCACTCTCTTCTTCTCTTTTATCATATAAGAATTTATAATAATAATAATAATAAATAATTCTCAACGAAGAGAATTATTTTTACTTAAAGTTATTATTCTTAATAACTATCAAAAAAAAAAAAAAAAAATTGTCATCTCCATTTTTAAAACACGTGTACACTCACGCATATATTTTACGAAATGCGTAAAAAAGGGAAAAAGATAGATGGAGAAAAGACGAAAAAGAGAGAGAGAGAGAGAGAGATAGTCGAGCATAAAATCGGGAAACGCGTATTATAAAATTCATAGACTTGTTGCAGGTGGACAAAGGATGTCATGGCGAGGGATGGTAATTAAACTCTACGCTGTTTGAGGGCTGTTTAACAATTCATGAACGTGATCTTGTTGTCAGGGATGTCATAAAACGTCAGAGCTCGGAGATGATGCCTTTACTTAAATTAACATATCTTTCTCTATCCTTTTTCCTTCGTGCTCCCCCCCCCTCTCTCTCTCTCTCTCTCTCTCTCTTGAATTTTACTTTTGACTCCATCTTTCTTTTTTTTTTTTTTTTTTTCACGTCATAATTTTTACAATCTGTTTTTTTTTTTAAAAACTTTTAATTGCTATCAATGTCAACCTCTTTTCCAAAATTCAAAATTTAAGAAAACTAAATTATGAATTCAAGTTCTTTTTTTTTTTAGGCGCGATTCATAAAATGTCTTTTGCAATTTCATTTAAATTAATTTAAAAAAATAATTTACTCACTTGATGAGATCTTGAATTCGGTGTCCCCGGATGAGTTCCCATACCGTGATGATACATCATATCATGTTTTAGTTGAGGAAGGCCAGGGGTTGTGCTAACGGGGTGTTTACCCATATCGACTGCAGCTAAAGCTTCTGCACGACTCAGCAAACCGTCATTTAAACCCCCGAAAATGTCACCCTAAAATTTAACGTAAAAAAAAAATAATAATAATAATAATTAAGAATTTAATATGTAAAAAAAAAAATTCAAGCTTTGATACAATCATAAATCTAAAATTTTTAATTAAAAAATTTTTTTTTTTATTTACTCTATGAAATTTTCTTTTTTAAAAATGAATTAATGACGTCACTTTTACATGTTTAAAGTAATTAAAAGGTGGGGAGAAAAATTATTTATTGTTTGTTTTTTTTTTTTTTTTTGCGTATCACGTGATAAATAATTAAAATAATTTAAATGGATAAAATCAATTCATTTATTATTATTATTATTATTATTATTATTACATTTTTTTTGTCAATTACACGAGTCGGAGAGTTTTCAAATATAATAATAATAATAATAATAATAATATTTTCATTGAGAAGTCATGCGTATTAACTTGTAAAGTATTGACGAAGCGTCAGAGCTGTGAGTTTTTCCATGTAAAAAGCTCTCTCTCTCTCTCTCTCTCTCTCTCTCTCTCTCTCTCTCTCTCACATCCCACGCTTTTTACGCCCTAGTCTCGATACGAAAAAATCTTTAAAAAAAAAACCCATTATTATATTATTATTATTATTATTATTATTATTATTATTATTATTATTATCATTTCATGTTTTAAACATTAACAACAATTTAAATTAATTTTTTTTTCTTGGAAAATCTCGTAAAATGAGTACAGTATATGAATATAAAATTAAATTTTCATAATCGAATATTAAATATACCGGCCGTAAAATTTTAATAATAATAATACTACTAATAATAATAATTAAAGTCGTTATTTACATCGTGAAATATTTTCTCCCCTCCATTTTGTTTTTTTTTTTGTTTCAAATCGTATTCATGTCCTATTTATTTGATAATTTCATTTTTTTTTTTTTTTTGGTGCATTTAAAATCAAATTCTGATTTATATTTAAACCATAATTACTCGAAATAATAGTAGCGAGAGAAAAGGAAAAAAAAGGAAAAAAAGGAAAAACAAACAGGATTGCCAACACCTGAAACAAATTTACATTTTCCCTCGGGTGTGAACAATATTATCATCGCCATTATTTACGACTTTTTTTCTTTTTTTTTTTTTTTTTTTTTTTTTTTTCGTCGATGGATTTTTCCATCGTTTCGATATTTTTACGGGGGGGGGAGTGGGGAGGGACGTTTCAAACGAATAACAAACGATAAATACTTATTATTATTATTATTATTTTGCAATAGTTTTTTTTTAAATTTAATTCTCGTGTCATTTAAGGTTATATATATTAACGTCATTATTAACAATATTCGTTAATGACGTCATTTGATTTTTTTTTATTACGAGATTCGCTGAGGTCTGTTTAACGTGCGTTTTTTTTGTCGATAATATTATTATTATTATTATTATCAGATAATTTGTTTGTAATCGTTTAAGTTCGATTTATCGTTTTAATATATCGAAAAATATGAAAAACAAAAAAAAAAAAATTTTATTGAAATAAAAATCAAAAAAATTGGTTGTTTTTTACATTAAGTAAATGAATATTATTAATTTTGTAAATAAAATGGCGTCAAATCATCATCATTATCATTTCGAATAAATAATAAATCAATTTTTTTTTGCAAAAAATTATGAAAAATTTAAATAAAATAAAATAAAAGAAAGGGTAAAAACTAAAGAGGAAAAAAAATGTTTTTTTATAAGTGGAAAAAAAAAAAAAAAAGAAGAAAATTTTTTGTGTTGTGTATTGCTCAAGCGCACATTCGTTCGTTTCAAGTTTTTCCGTAATAACCATCGGTGATTGAAAGAGAATAATCTAGAAACAATGATTTTTTAGATCAATAATTCCTGTGTGTTCACTCTCGTTCGTTCGAGAATCCAATTTGAAAATTTCAAGGAAGCGCTTGCGTTGTTGTCGTTATTACATTTTTTTTTGGGTTAAGTTTTAAATTTAAGAACTTTAATCCGAAAAACGATTTGATTTTTACAAAAAAAAAGAGAGAGAGAGAGAAAAAGGTTTTTAAAAAAAAAAATATATAAATGTATCTCCTGGAAAGAAAAAAAAAAAAAAAACGGTTTTTTACATCGAGTGAAGAGAAGAAGGGAAAAAGATGGATAGAGAGAGAGAGAGATGGAAAATAAATCAATGTTAAATTTTCCGGTTTTTTTTTTTCCTTTTTTCCCCTTTTTTTTTTTAAATTTTTCGATCAAATGTCAAATTTTACACGTCGAAAAAAAATTTTTTTTTTTTTTTTTTATTTCTAAATCAAAATAATAATAAAAAAAAGGGAAGGGGGAAAAAAATCGCACGAATGAGAATAAAATGAAATCGATAACGAACTTTTTTTTTGCAAATTTAAAAAATTTTTTTTTGGTAAAAGTTCGACAAAAATCCCACCACCTAATCTAACGAGTTTCTTTCTAATTAAATTTTTTTACGTTAAAACAATATGGTTCCCTCTTCTTCCCTCTTGCTCACACGATAAAAAAAAAAAAAATCTAATTTTTTAAGGCTTTTTTACCAGAGAGTTTGTTTTGTTTGTTTCGTTTTTTTGCTGTTTGTTGTTTGTTTGCATTATTTTGGCCTCCTACGTGAGATTTAACGATTGTGAGAGGATTTGATGCGGCCAAATCTTTTTCTCTTCATCAAGTATTAATGGGAATGACAATGGGAATCGTCAATATCACATACGTACGATATCTTTTTTTTTTTCCGTTATGACGTAATAAAAAAAATGTTTAGTTATTATTATTATTTTTCCAAAAATTCAGTTAAATGTTTTGTGATTTTTAATAATAAAATGATTTCGATTCCGATTATCGATAATTTAATCGTAAAATTTAGAAAACTGTTACGTTACCCTAAAATAATTAAATTTAAAAGCAAAAAAATTACAACGAAACACCGGAAATGGTTATTTTTATTATTATTTTCTATATAAACATGTTTAAATTTAGTCAAATGTTTTTCTTTTTTTCAGGTAATTACAATAAATGTAAAAACAACCCCTAAAAACAAGAGAGAGAGAGAGAGAGAGAGAAATAAATTCGACCCAATTATCAGAATTAAGAGAAAATGATAAGGAAGGGAGGGACCACATAAACGTTCAGGTACACGAGGAGGAGTATGAACGGAAGAGATGAAAAAGGAAAAAAAGGAAAAAAGGTAAGAGAAAAATATTCAATGTTTAAAACTGATGGGGAAAAATATATATATATATAGGGAAAATCCCATCCAGAGGGAGGTCGGTTTGAAGAAGGTAATTGTAGTTAAGTGTACATTATGAGGGTTCTTAGACGAATGAGCGCCATTTGCTAAAGAGAATGAGGTTGTAAATTAAAGTGGAAATTGGAATAACCAGGTAATAAATTGACCTTATTCCGTAACTACCGACACTTTTCTTTTTTTTTTTTAAAAGCTTTATTATAAAATGCATTCATTATTTACTCTCTCTTTCTCTCTCCCTCTCTCTCTCTCTCTCTGTCTCTCTCTCTCTTTCTCTCTCTCTCTTTCTCTCTCTCTTTTTTATTTATTTACCTTTCTCTCTTTTTTTTTTTTTTATTTTTTTTTCCACTGTCAGATTTTTATTTTCTCACTATTACTTATATTAATTTTTTTTTTGTTAAAATCCATTAATGTGTTTTTTTTTTAAATACCCGCCTCCTCCTCCACCTCTCCCTCCCTTTTCCTCCCTTCTTCTCTCTTTCTCTTCCTCCTACTCACAACGTTCGAACGTCATTTTCTTCATGTCGAAAATCAAAAATGTCTGAGCTTTTTTTTTTTTAAAACGGTATATAAGAAATAAAATGGCGGGAATTCCAAATTTTTAAAGGTAGTAATTATAATAATAATAATGATAATCGAGTTAAATAGTTAGGAGAGAGAGGGAAAGGAAATAGAAAAAAATGGGATGCAAAAAAGGTCAAAGGTTAGGTAAACGTGTAATTAAAAAAAAAAAAAAAAATTATCGTTCTTACATTATGCCTAGGAGTTGTCCACGAATTGCACATTAAAGAAGTTTCCTCCAAAATCCGACTCTGGAAAAAGAAAGAAAGAAAATAAAAAAAATTTTAATTTTGTCGCAAATTAATTTATTCTATTGACACGTCTCGTTCATTTTGTTTATAAACGGAAAATTTTTTACTCTCATTACTCATCATCATCATCATCATCATTATCATTATCATTAGTATGAGTCGATAATATGTTAAGTTAGGGACGGGGTGGGGGGGGCGGGAAAGTATATAAAAATCAAGGATTTTTTTTTTCCAGAACAAAAATTTTCATCATAATCATTTTTTTTTTTCTCGAGGTGGTTGATAATTAAAAAAAAAAAAAAATTAACAAAGGAAAAAGGAAAAAGGAAAAAAAGGAAAAAAAAAAAATTTTCTTTTAATTTTTTTTTTTTTTTTTTTTTTTATGTGGGGAACTCCCCTGAATTCAAATGGAAACTTTTACGCAAACGCATAACGATTGGTCGAAAGCTTAAGGATGGGTGGAGCTTATTAACTCCCGAAAAGGTTATTGACGCTGCATTTACCGTTAAAAAAAAAATTTTTTTTAAATATTCGAACCGTTCGCTCGTTCGTTCGTTTGTTAGAAGGGTTATCATCTCCCGTTCGTTTTTATGTAAATGAATACTGATTTAAACATGGTTGAAAACGATTATTGAGAGGGACGATTACACATTTTATCATGAATGATAATGATGATGTTATTATTATTATTATTATATTACGAATCTCATCGTATTTATTATTATTATTATTATCATTATTTTTCACGTGTTCGATTATGAAAATATTAAATATATGATGATGATGATGATGATGATGAGATGTTAACTAATGTTATTGTTCGTTAAAATCAATTTCAATTTTTTAATTATTAATATTTTAACGTCTTTTTCCTTGCTCATAGTTACGTAAATTTTAACGAATTTTCCGCCATTTTGTTTTGATTTTTAAAAAATCGTTAATAACGAAAAATAATTTTCTTTTATGCTGGAATATTATCACCGCCTTGTTTGAATGTTTCGAATGCGACTGAAATCGGAATTTTCTTTCTTTAAAAAAAAAAAAAAAAAAAAAAAAAAAAAAAAAAACAATATGTCTTCGTTCACAGACGAAGATTTTCCACTTTACTTTATTCGTTTTTTTTTAAATGTAATTTTACAGCGTTGCCAAGTTGATTCTTTTCTTTTTTTTCGGGTTTATTTTCCAACGTTTTCTTAACCGTTTTTTTTTTTTTTTTGTATTGTTTTACTACTCATCGATTGTATTCCCAAGAAAAAAAATTTTAAATTGAAATTTTTAATCGAATAAATTTTCACGAAGGAGGAAAATGTTTATTTACTCTATGAAAGGATTTGTTTTCGTTTTACTGAAAAAAAAAAAAATGAATTTGTCGTGGCGTAATTATATTACTGTCGTTTTTTTTTCGAATTTTTTATCGATTTAAAAGAGTTTTTCTTTTTACATCACGATATATAAGTAAAGTTTTATTAAAAATAATCGTTTTTGTGAATTTTTCTTTTTTTTCGTGGAGGGGGGGAGGGGGGGCGGTTTAAAAAAAAAAAGTTTTAAAATTGACCCCGAAGTTTGTTACGCACGATCGGTTTTTTTTTTTTTTTTACTTTTTTCATTACGTGAAGGAAAATATAGCAAAAGAAAAAAAAATAACGTCTTTGTTTTGAAAAATTTAAATTGAAAGGGATCGTCGTCTGCTAGTTTAAAAAAAAAAAAAATGGCGGGCGAGCGGGCGGGCGGAAAAAAAAAGCACGAAATATTACGTGAGCGTGTGTTTTCTTTTCCTTTTCCTTCCTTTTCCTTCTTTTTTTTTTTTTTTTTTTTTTTTTTATTTTTTTTTTGAATTTTCATTTGTTTTTTTTTCCACTCTCTCTCTCTCTCTTTCTCTTTCTCTCTCTCTTTTTTTTTTTCTTCCTCGGTAGAAGTAAAACGCAAGATTTATTGACAATTTGCTCCCGAAAAAAAAAAAAAAAAAAAAAAAAAAAACTCACCCTTCATTCAATTTCTCGAAATTTCCCCGAAAAGTCATAAAGATTCCCACAACTGCAGTATTTTCACCCCGTCGACAAGTCAAGGCTTCATTTTTCTCTTTTTATGCTTGTTCCTTCCTTCTTTTTTTTTTTCTTTTTCTCCTGTCATATTATTTCTTTCTCTTTATGTATACAGACTAACACTCGCACGCACATACGCACTCACTCACGCACGTTAATTTTTTTTTTTCCTTTCCTTCCTTTCTTTCTTTATTTTATAAAATCAATGATGAAAAAGGAAAACTTTTTTCAAAATTAAAAAATGATTACTTTTTTTTTCTTAAAATTTATCAGACTAAATGAGAAAATCTTACGTTTCTAATAATAATAATAATAATAATAATAATAATAATAATATTAAATATTTATTATTATTAATATACAAGAGCATAAGCGTAACGTAAAAAATAATTTTATTATTATTATTATTATTATTAACGTTATAAAAGTTTAAGGGTTGGGATGAAATTTTCCGAGAAGAAAGAAAGAAAGAAAGAAAAAAAGAAAATTTTATTTCGAATTTTAATCAAATTAAAATTATAATGATAATTATTATTATTATTATCATCACGATTTCCGGTAAAATTTTTTTTTTTTAAATCAATCACGCTCCGAATTAATTCGTTCTCGTCGCGGCCATTTTTTTTTTTTTTTTTTGCATTACATTGTCAAGAAAAAAATGAAAATTTGTTTAAAATAAAGAATTACTTCAACGACGTATTGTTTTACTTAATGGCGACAAATTTCCTCGCAATATCCTTTGTCGCACAATTTTGATTTGTCGGAAAACAATAATAATAATAATGATATTTCGATTCGGGTACGCGCGTTTGTAAAGAAAAAAATGAAAAAAAAAAAATTATTTTAATGTTATAAAAATCAACCCTAACGTCGTAAAGTAAATAATTTCAACCCTTTCGAACCCTCTCTTGAAAACTTGAAACAACGAAAAACAACAAATTTTATGCACACACACACACACAAAAAAGGAAAAAAGCCTATTCATTCGTTTAACGTTTTCATAATTAAATAAAAAATAATAATAATAATAATAATAAATTTAATTAATTAAAAAAAAAAATATGAAAACTTCATTTAATTTTCGTTATTAAATAAAATTTATAGACACACGTGTGTGTATATTATTTATACACGTGGAATTAACTAACGATTTAAAAATTATGTCGGAAATGTTTTAGGTTTTTTTTTTTTCAATAGTTGGCATTATTAAAAATTATTTAAAACAATAAAATAAAAAATGGCGGAAGTGGGAAGAAAAAAAATAAAATAAAATCTTTCGAATTTGGAGGAGGGGAGTAAGAGAAGTAGGAGGAGTAGGAAAACGGGGGAGAGGAGGGGAAATCGAACGTTTCAAATATCATAAATCCAAAATTACCCGATTCAATATGAACACGAAGATTTTTTCTTTTTTTTTCTTCTTTTTTTTTTTTCCTTTTTTTTTTCCCTCCCTTTTTTTTCTCGAATTAAAGTGAAACTTGTACATCTTTTGAAGATTGTCGTGCCTCCCTCCTTCCCCCCTCCTCCTCCTCTTCACACCCACATATATATATATATATTTTTTTCCTTCTCCAGCCCCTTCCCTTCTACGGTTCATATATATATATATGTAAGGATGAGGGGTTTATCAAGGGACTCAAATGTGATTTACGCTTCCATAACTATCTTTTATTGTCTATAAGAAATCCCATTTGCGGTAAAGAAAATGTTCTTGTTCTTTTTTTTTTTTATCTTTCTCTCTCTCTCCCCTTCCCCCTCTCTCTCTATCTCTTTCTACAATTTTTTCGTTTTATTTATTTTTTTATTTTTTCTTGATGTTTTTTTTTTTTTTTTTTGTAATACAATTTTTAAAAAATGAGAAAATTTGAAAAAATTCACGTGGAAAATTTAATATTATTATTATTATTATTACAAGGTACGTGCCGCCATTAGGAAAATTATCATTATGTTCATATATAGATCATTATATATCATTATATCATTATAGATAAACAATTTTTTGTTTTCCAGTTTTTCGGCTGCTGCTGGAAATTTTTTCTCCTACGATTCGATTTCTTATCATTCGTGTTATCATCACGGATTGTATTTGTTTTTTTTTTCCAGTTTGAAGTTTTTGGAAGTTTTTGGAAAACGAGAAGTCGAGGGAGAGGGAAAGTGATAATTTTTCAAGAAAGTGATTCCACGAGAAAAAAAAAATAATAATAAGAAAAACAACTTACCGACGGATTTGGCATGCACCGTCGCATCGGATCCGGAGAACGGTAAGTCGGAGAATATCTTCCAGAAAAGCATCCACCGGATGCTGTTATGGGCGGATGAATTGGTTTCCCGTTCATCATTTTATCTGGAGAATACATTTCTTCCTTTAACTTAACTTTCACGTCTTTGAAAGAAAGTTGAAACGAGGAAAAATGATCGAAACACTCGCTCATTTGTAAACGTTAAATAAATTCCACCGGGTAGTAGCAGTAGTAGTAGTAGTAACGATAATAATGATAATAATGAAAACTTTATCAATTTTAACGTAATCGAATGTATTCATCGTGGATTTATTATCAATTGATAACGTTTCGTCGCTTACGCTCATCGTTAATTATCTTTTTTTTTTTTCATTTCAATTTTTTAAAAAAACGAATTATTACCATGATGATGACGATGATGATGATGATTTTTCTTTTCAAATTCTATTTACCGATCGTTTGTAAACAAATAATGATAATAATAGTAGTAGGTAGACATATTGAATAATGATGACGACACCACACGCGCACATTTAAGTCTCAAATCCAATTTTTTTTTTACAAATGTAAATTTTTTTTTTTTTTTTTTTTTTTATTCACAAATCAAAAAGGAAAACCGTTAACGAACCCGTAAAAAGAAAAAATTAACGGAAAAATTATTAATTAATTTTTTCACACGCATTTTTTTTTTTTTTTTTTAACAACTCAAAAAAAAAAAGGAAAAACAAAAAAGGAAAACCCGAAAGGAAAAACCGGAAACATATTTCGAATGTACGAAAAATAGTTTTTTTTTTTTTTTTCTTACCCGTTTGATTTCCTCGTATGAAAAAAAAATAGCTTCCGATTATTATTATTATTATTATTATTACTATTATTATTATTATTAATTTTTTGTCTTCTGCTTGAAATTTTTTCGTTCATCGTAAAAAAAAAAAAAAAAAAAAAAATCTACACAAAAACAAAAAAAACTTTTTTTTTTTTAAATTTGAAATTTATTATTATTATTATTATTATTAATATTAATATTATTATTAGTATTATTATTATTATTACTGAAGAAAAACAAAATTTTGAAAAGAATGACAAAAAAAAAAAAAAAACTGAATTGCAATAACGGAGTCAAGTGTTTTACTGGTTTTGAAAAAAATCGTTGTGTTCGAATGTGAATGGGCGGTCTAACTTTCCGCCATGAAGGGGCGGAAAGCCGGAAACGTTTTAGGATATAAATGTTAAGTCACGTGACCTTTGAATTTCCGCCAAAGCGCTTGCGTCACTCCTCCCAATATTGAGTTTTCCAGAAAGTTTTATATAAGTATATACATATACACGATTTTCTTTTTTTTCCCCCCTTTTTTTTAAATTTTATTCTCGTGTAATAAGGGCACATATAGACATTTTTATTCTGCTTCCACTTTTTTTTTCCTTTTTCCTTTTTCGTTTTTCGTTTTTCATCATCATTATTATTATTATCATCGTCATCGTCGCTCCCGTCGTTCTCGTCGTCGTCGTCGTCGTTTCGAATTGAAAAAATATTTTCCGTTTTGTTAAATTAATTTATTTTAAAAAAAAAGAAAAATTTATCAATTATTATTATTATTATTATGTTTACGTTTCGATTTTTTGTTAATTTTTCGACTGATTTCGTTTTTCGTTTTTTTTTTTTAGTCCCCACCCCCCCCCCCGCTTGCTTTTTTTTTTTTTTTAAAGGGAAAAATTTTTACTTGTGTTGTTTTTTTTTTTTTTTTTTTTTTACTGAAAAATTTTAGTTTTATCGTAAAAACGTTACCATCTCTCTCTCTCTCTCTCTCTCTCTCTCTCTCTCTCTCTCTCTTTTTTCCAGTTTTTGTTTTTTCCGTCTTTTTTTTTTTTTTTTTGTTAAACCGACGTATATTGTTTTTTATTCGTTTTCTATCGGAAAATTTTATTTATGACCGAATTTTTATTACGAAACGTCAAATTTTATATATATATACATGTAATTTCTTTATGTATCGGGTGTAAAAATTTTCCTTTGAAAAAAAAAAAAAAAAAAAAAAAAAAACACGAGGAAAAATCATCATTATCGTTATCGATAAAAGAACCACGTTCGTGATATTAATTATATTTGATAAGGATGTCATCTTATCATTCCTCCGTCCGATTTAAACGAATTTTTTAAAAAATAAGACAAAAAATTTTCTTTTCTTTTCCGGTAAATTTTTCGCGTTTTTGTATGACGAAATTTACGTAAAAATAATAATAATAATAGGCTATGGTATTACGCACTAAATCGCGACGTGAAATAATAATAATAATAATAATAATAGTTATTAAAAATTAATTAATTAAATAAATAAAAAATAAATAAAAATTTTAGAAAAAAAAAATAATAATAAGCCGCAGGGGATCACGTGCGCATACACGTTTTTTTTTTTTTTTAATTTTGCGGTCGTCATGATAATAATAATAATAATAATAATAATTATTATTATTATTATTATTATTTTTTAGTTTATTCAATAAAAAAAAATTGAATATTATTATTATTATTATTATTATCTTTTCTGCATCCGCGAAGTTGATAAAAAGGTTTCACTTTAAACAAAGAGGAGAAAAGACAACAGCCGGAAGGAAGTAAAAAAAGAAAAGAAAAGAAATCGCGACCGGGAAAACAAAAAAAAAAAAAAAAAGGAAAATATTCATTTTGAAAATTGAAAAGCGGGACTGATCCCAAAGGTGGTTGACGGCAGACGTTTCCCATTCCCTAATTTTCCTACCGATTTTCAACTTCTTATTACATCCCCCAGACATACGTACACACACGCACGCACACGCACACCCACACACATCCTCTTCCTCTCTTCTTTCCTTCTTTCGGAGCGATCGGGGTTTTAGATAAACTTGACGCTGGTTTTTTGTACTTAGCCACGTGCTCCTGACACGTGTTGTTAATTTGACACGGAATTGGCTTGTTAAATAACCGTTGCTTCACAATTTTATTTTATTTTATTCAAAAAAAATTTTTTTTTTTTTTTACTTTCACCAAAGAAAAAATTTAAAATCGTAACGATTGATAATAATAATGATGATGATGATGATGATGATAATTTTAAATATGCCGGTGTGGCGGAAAACAAAAAAAAATCAAACGATGATGATGATGATGATAATTTTTTCGATTGAAAAAAAAAAAACAAAATTCATCTTTTTTCCTTTTTTTCCTTTTTTCCTTTCCTTTTTTCCTTTCCTTTTTTCCTTTTTTTTATTCTTTGCATTGATTTATAAGTAATCGGGAGAATAAGTTTTCCCTTTTTAGTCAGATTCTGTCCCCTTGTGTATACACCGAAAACATCCTATTTTGGCGAAAGAAGATTTCCTTTTTTTTTTTTTTTGCTTTCCTCCTTTTTCTCCTTTTCTTCTTCATCTTCTTTTCTTTTCTTTTAATTTTTGTATATATTTGTATGCGAAAGCAAAAGTTAAAGCGAGCAGAAGAAAAAGGGTGGATTAGAAAAAAAAAAAAAAAAAAAAAAAAAGAAAAGTAGCCGGTTATAAGTATATTTTCCCCCGCATTAATACCATTTTCTCCATCCTTTTTTTTTTTTTTAACTGTATCTCTCTATCTCTCTATCTCTCTGTCTCTCTCTCTCTCTCTCTCTCTCTCTCTCTCTCTCATTTCGTCATTTTCGTGCAGAATGAAACGAAATCTATAATTTTTTTTTTTTATACGACTCGTAAAGTTAACAAAAACTTAAATTATTATTATTATTATTTTAACAATATCTGATATCGTTTAGAAAAAAAGAAGGCAAATAATTAGTTTGAGAAATCGATAGGAAAATCGAATTTAAAATCAATAATAATAATAATAATAATAATAATAATAATAGTATCGGAAAAATAATTTTCTTTAAAAAGAAAATTGTACGATTTTCTTACGTCACGACATAAAATTTTTTTTTTTCAAATGAGTGAATAAAATTCCGGTATTATTAATTTTAAATCTATTAAAACGAAAAAAAAAAAAAAATAGGGAAAAGGATACGTGAAGAAAAGGAAATAGTGAAGGGAGAGAGGGGTAGGGAAAAACGGGATAAAACGGGGAGTATTTGTTAAAAAAAAAAAAAAAAAAAGTTAAAAGTGGGATCCGGTATAAAGTCTCTTTCTAAGAATTTTATTGAAGTAATATCAAATAGTAAATCAACTTGACTAATGCAATTCTCTTTTTATTTTATTTCTCTTTTATTACTGGAAACGCTATCGGGATCACCAATTTTATGTCTGCATTGGGAAAACTTTATTTGGGATTCTTCTGAGGTTTTTTTTTTTTTTTTTTTTTTTTTTTTTTAATATAATGAAAATCTTATGGCACTTGTTTTTTCCCTCCCCCTACCTCCTCTTCCTCCTTCTCCATCTTCTTCTTCTTCTGCTTTTTTTTTATCATTTTCTTTCATTCGATTTTCTTGAATTTTTTTTTCCCAAATTTTCCGATTTTCCGATTCAAACGGATGATTTTAAAAAATCGGTGGATTCTTTACGTCTGATAGTTACGTTTGACTTATGGTTAAATAAAAGGCGAGTCGAAGGATAGGAAGAAAAAAAGGAAAAACGATAACAAAGAAACATAAAATTTAAAATAAAAAAAGAAAAAGAAAAGAAAAGAAAAAGATAATTAAGATGAAGGTGCGTTGAGTGTCGAGATGGTGGTGTCCAGAAAGTGCTGTTGGAAAATGCATATTTCATCAGGTTGAAAGTAGAATTATTAAAGAGGACTTGTCGTCTTTGGAACACACAGGCCCCCAAACGACAACTCAATTAGCTCTTTCATACGGCATCTATTATTACGAAACCTTAAAAAAAAAAAAAACAAAACGTTATAACTCGCAAATGATTTTTACCCGCAAAAAAAAAAAAAAAAAGATTTTCACGTTTTTCTTGGAAAATTTTTGACAAATTTTTCCGGTGTTCGGATTTGTTTTGTTTCTTTGTCAAATTGTTTTTCGGTGTACGATATAGATAGAAATTAATTTTATGATTTTACAAGTTTTTCTTTTAAGTGAATATTTATCGTTGGTTACTCTTTCGATGTCGCCATTTTCGAAAAAATTAAATTCTCGAGAAAAAAAAGAAAATTTGTCGTTTAGAATGTTTTGAAAGTTAAGAATAAGAAGAAGAAGAAAAGGCGGCACGGCGGATTCTCAATAATATAATACTCT